CCTATGGGTGAATTTGTGTGACGATTAATCTTTGATTGTTGACATGCTGAACACTCTCTAACCCATTTGTGTACATCCTTCTGTAAATTCGGCCATATATATCTGGCATTGATTAGTTTTGTTGAAGCTTTCGCGCCAGGATGAGACAAAGAATGAAAGTTATTATATATCAACTTTCGCATATTTTTGGGAACGAAAGGTCGCGGCATTGCCTTGGTCGTGTCACAATAAATTAGAATACCATCGATAGGTGATGGGAATTGTTTTAAATTAAGACTTGAATTGTTTGTTTTAAGTAGGTTTTGCAATTCTAGGTCCTGCTCTTGTTCGTGTCTTAACGTTTCGAAGTTTACTGTAGACTGCTGTAGCACGTTCATTTCTAGTCTGGATAAAGCATCTGCCGCCTGATTGTCCTGACCTTTGACATGTCGGATATCGCTTGTGAACTGTGATATATAGTCAAGGTGTCGGACTTCTCGAGGTGAGTATTTATCGGCTCTCGCTTTTAATGCATTCGTCAGTGGTTTATGATCCGTAAAGACTATAAATTCCCTACCTTCTAACATGTGTCGGAAGTGTTTAATGGTCAGGTAGATTGCAAGAAGTTCTCGCCCGAAGGTAGAATACCTTGTTTCGGCTGGAGCGAGCCTTTTCGAGAAAAAAGCAATTGGTTTCCAGGCGTTTTTAACCAGTTGGTTAAGGGTACCGCCTACTGCTTTATCTGAAGCATCCACCATCAAAGCAAGTGGGGAAAGAGAATTCGGATATATCAACGTAGTTGCTTCAGCCAGTTTATCTTTAAGCTGTTTAATAGCTTCGATGGCGTCAGAAGACAGTTTGAATTCTTTTGGTTTTCCTTTAAGTGAATCTGTCAAAGGTTGCATTAATTGTGCACAACCTGGTATGAATCTGCGATAAAAGTTAATTAGGCCTAGAAAACTTCTCAGTTGTGTTAGAGAACTAGGTACGGGGTATTGTTTGATGGTATCCACTTCTTTTTTGATAGGTTTAATCCCTTCTGGGCTTATTGTGTGACCGAGAAATTCTAAAGTTTGAACACCGAAAACACACTTACTTTGATGTATGTTTATTCCATGTTCATCCAGTCTTTTCAACACTGCTTGTACATGCTGTTCGTGTGATTGCAAATCGGGGCTGGCAATTAACAAGTCGTCTATATACCCCTGCGCAAATGGCATATCTCGAAGTAGGTTATCTATGAATCTTTGAAATGTCTGTGCCGCATTTCTCAGGCCGAATGGCATGCGTACAAACTCGAATAAGCCAAAGGGTGTAGTAATAGCTGTCTTGGGAATATCTTCATCAGCCACCGGGATATTGTGATATGCCCTGACTAAGCCAATTTTAGTGAATATGTTCATACCCTGTAAACCGTTGGTGAAATCTTGGATATGAGGTATTGGGTACCTATCAGGTACGGTTTGACGGTTTAGGGCTCTGTAATCCCCGCACGGTCGCCAGTCACCTTCATTCTTCTTTGGGACCATATGCAAAGGGGATGCCCATTGACTATCAGAGGGACGGATGATACCCAGTTGTAGCATATAATCAAACTCGGCCCTAGCGATTTTGAGCTTATCTGGTGCTAGTCTCCTGGGTTTTGCAAACACCGGTGCGCCTTCGGTTTTGATAGTGTGACTCACCTTTAGTTTGTCTTTAGAAGGCTGTGGGTTTGGTTTAGTTAAGTTTGGAAATTCAGCGAGTATATCTTGGAATTTCGCTGTTGTTACTGGGGGAGTTTGAATCAAGTTAAGAGAGTTGATGTGACTTTCTTTGCCTTTTGTGTAATACGAAGTTTCTTTTAGTGTTAATCGCCGTTTCTTGGTGTCAACTAGAAATTCGTATCTCTCTAGAAAGTCCATCCCCAGTATTGCCAGACCTAAGTCGGCTACCGTGAAAACCCAAGGGAATTGCCTCCTGAACCCCAAATCTAGGGTTAAAGTTTTCTGCCCAAATGTCGCAATATTAGTTTTATTTGCAGCTTGAAGTGTAATTGATGATGTTTCTCGACTAATCTCAGTTTTATTTCGAGGGATGATGCTAAGAGCAGCGCCAGTATCCACCAAGAAATTCAAGCCCGAGTTTCTGTCTCTAACATAAAACAAGCGACTGTTTAGGCGCCCCTCCTCAGTCGTCGCGACCTGGGGAGGGGTTACTCGTTTCCCGCTGGCTTAGAATTATGCTTCGGCCAGGCGCATGGTTGCATGCACTTGGTTGAGTTGACACCAAACTTCCAGTGGTACCAACAAAACTGCCCAGATTGTCTGGACATTTGTGACCTGTTTTGTGACTTGGATCGTGGTCGTTGTGGTGACCTGCTCCTGTTTCTATGACCCATTTGCATTCTGGTGACAGCCTCAGTGAGACTCTTAACACTCGCAATGAGTCCTTCTATTACGGGGTCTTTTGCTGATTCTACTTTTTGTGTGTGATTTATTGTGCCTGATCCAGTTGGAGGACCTCTTTCCATTATTCTGTCGGCTATACGCGCTAATTGAGATAATGAGGTTTCAGGATCCTGTGCATCCAAACAGTGTTGGACGTAGCATGGGAGAGCTTGTATCCATCCTTGTTTTAGGACTGCTTCACCCACTGTGTTATCACCCACTAAGACTTGGAGGTGACGTAAAAACTGTGACGGCGACCGATCACCTAGTGTTTCACCTTGAAAAAGTCTTTGGATTCTTTGACTATCTGATAATGATAAACGGTTCATTATCTCTTGTCTTAAGATGGTGTATGGTTGTGGTGATGGTGGACTCAAAATCAAGTCACGGACTTCTTTGGCGACTGAAGGAGGAAGGATAGAACACAAGTCTCTATAGCGAATCCCTTCAGATTTGATATTGTGTCTCGTGAAATAATGCTCTAGTTGAGCAAACCACAACTCAGGATCACTACGATCAAATTCTGGAAGTCGGGATTTCGTAGTCATAACAGTGTCTATCTCCACTGGTGACAAATCCTCCAGATTATGGGTTTCTATTGAGTCTGACATGAGGTATGTGACAAATATAGCAATAAAGTTAGCACAAAAAGTGGTTACTATAACACGAATAACTTAAGATAATACGGAATAAACTAGTTATATACTCAAATTAGTTTACGGATAATCAGGTCTACTTTTAAGATTAAGTAAAAAAAATGTTAATAACAGAAATGAGGTTAAATTTGTGTTCAAAAAGGGCTCACCAGTTTCGTGCCTTAAGGTAACCCTCGTGCTATTGATAGAAGAAACCAGAGAAGTAGTGAATAGGTCTTTATTTCGATCTTCGCGCAGTCGCAGTCGAGCGTGGGATTATCTGTTCAGACAAACAAAGGCTCTCAACATTCAATATAAGATAATAGGGAATATAACGCTTATACAAAACAAGGAAGTGAATGAATACTTGAACAGTACTGTTTTGGCATAAGCTTGGTTGTTTGGGGTCAACTCTTAACCAACCAACCTGAGCTGTTACAAGATCAATACAGACAAATCCATGGGACTCGATTGAATGTATCACAGGATTCTAAAGGAACTAGCAACTGTTTCCGTGAATCCCTTAAGCATGTTTTAATTTATTTGTATCCCAAGGTCGATTAGCGAAAGACTGGAAGAACGCCATAGTAATCCTGTATTCAAAACAGGTACGAAACAGAAACCTGAGAACTATCGACCTGTTATCTCAATCAGCGTGGTTGTTAAAATTTTAGAAGATATTATTCTGAATGAACTGTTCACGAATCTCGATGAGAACGGGACTCATTCTGAAAAACAGCATGGCTTCAGAACAGGTTATTCCTGTCTCACTAACCTATTGGTAACGCGCAAAAGTTAGTGCACTCTTAAAGACCAAAAGTGACCTATAGACGTAGCTTACGCTGACTTCAAGAAAACGTTTGACAAACTTGCTGCTATATAAGTTAGGTACTATGAGGATTAGGAGCATATTATCAATGTGGACAAAAAATCTCCTAGTTAGACGCCAGCAAAAAGTATGACTGAACTCAAAGTTTCTAGCCGAAAAACTGTGCATAGCAGAGTGCCTCAGGGTACAGTTTTGGGATCAGCGTTATTCCTCTTGTAAATGAGTGATCTTTCTCATCTCATATCGTCACAGATTTTCTTATATGCCGACGATGTCAAGAAATAGAGAACGATAGGAAGTACAGGCAATAGCTTAGTACTCTAAAATAACCTGGAGAAATTATCTGATCTCAAACTTCGCAGTTGCCGATTAATGCTTCTAAGTGCGTTGTAATGCATATTGGTCATCAAGGTACAGATACATACACGGTGAATTACATTGAGCTACTTGTTGTTCAGACACACAATGACACACATTGTTAGCCAACACCTAAAAACTACGGTACAGTGCAATGAGATAGTCGCCAAAAGCTTTAGAACCCTGAATTCAATGCGTAGAGCCTTTAGCCATGTCGATGTTAAAAACTTTTTGACGTTGTGTACAGTACTCGTGCGTCCTAGGCTCGAGTACTGCATACGAGGGACTAGCCCCTGCTTGAAAAAACAGTGAGCTTTCGGAGAAGGTCCAGAGGACCACAACTAAGCTGATTCCCGGAATAGCGAGGCTCTCGTTTGATGTTCTACTGGCTAAGCCAAACCTATTTTCATCGTCACACTGAAGAACCAGAGTTTCCAAATTATTTAGTGATAAATTTGCATCTGATATTCCCTCACTTTTCTAGTCTCCCAAACCACAGGATTTACGAGGAAAGTCGAGAAACTTTCACCAGCCCAAAACAAATTACTTGTCAGACGACTGTCGACTTTCTTGTCGAATCATCAACAGATAGAATTCATTACCTCAGTCAACGTTTCCATAAGGAAGTTGGATCATCTGAGAGACCATAATTTCTGGGACTAACACAGGTCACCTTGCTTCCTGCTCTTTCCAAAGTGAAATAGAAGTAAGCTACATTTGCTCGTTTGATGTGCATAAAGTTTCTTCTGCGTTGCAAATTCACGGACTGAAGATCGAAATTGTTGCCAAGGTTGGCGCGTATGTCGAGGTACTATGCTCCAGTTATTTTTTTGAAGGGATAGTATCAGGTAAGTCCTAAATGCTGTGCCTTTGGATAGTTTTCTAGACTCGAAGTCTAATTAGGTAATTTTGTTTTCTGAAATGCGTTGTTCAGTAGCGATTTTACATACTAAATTATGCTAGAGTATTTATACTATAGTTTTTATAAAAACTTCCCCGCTCGCTTCGATTATCATAACTGCTTTATCAGATGCTAAAAATGTGTTTTTATTGATAAAATTGTCCTATGGAGATTCGCACATTTACACGTAGTCAATTGCCTTCATCTGCTTGGCTATTTTTGATTAACTGGGTTTACGAAACTACTATAGTAGCTTCGTGGTGTAGTACTACACCCTCCTGGGTTAATATGTTTATAACTGCACGTCAATTCATATATTATTTAAAGTTTCGTGATAAGTTTGTCAGGTCGTCTTCATTTTGCCGAATTACTGCTTAATTCTATGCTACCTAGAACACTGACCCTTGAAAATAGAGGTACAAATAGACATCGTTATGTCAGTCGATTTGAACAGCTATTTGATAGGCCCTCATTTATCATCTCTATACAACTGAATCAGCTTTCAAGAGTAGACGTCCTTTTCTACTCTCAATAAAGCATGAGCTCGTACCCAAGTAATTCAGAAATAAATCTCCGATCTTGGCCTGACTGTTGTTGTAACCGGTTGTCATGACTTTTTAACCAATCACAAACGATTACTTCCCAATTTAGCTTCAATGAGCCCTTTATCACAGTCATGATTGATCTGTACATTTTTTTTACCGTCAATCTACTACAGTTGGCAAGTCAAGGTTTCCCATTCGGCATAAAAATAGCCTTATTCAGTATTGCAATTTTAGGCATAAAAATAGTCAGATCTTCGTCAGCGACAGACAGTTCAGTTTTACAACAATTTGAGGGACATATACCATGAAGAATCCCCAAAATATTTATGAGGGTATTTGTTTTATGGTCAGGGTATTTGGTCTTTAGATTTTTAATTAATTAATTTATATTCTGAAAAATAATAATTACAGAATTCACGCCAGTTTACAGGCATGATCAATTTGATATAAGTAATAACGTTAAACGTTCAGAAAACAAACATGTGATAAAAGAAAGTTTTAAGTATACTAGTTCACTAGTTGTTTAAGTAGTACATATATTACAGCGATCCAAAGCATTATCCGGGAATTTTTAATATTTCTTAAATGGACAGCCTGTTGATTTATGGACGGTGTAATTAAGGTCAATTCGTGTGCCAGATCGAAATAATGATAATTATCTACAACTAGAGAAATTAAAACGAAAACAGAGAGCACGGAGCAACAAAAAAGTAATTACCAAAATATATTAATCAGGTCTACCTAAATGCGTGTGTCATGTGACACAGTGATATACTGTTTGTGTTATTCAAATTAGTTAAAGTTGATAGGGGCAGTGTTGACGTATTGACAGCAAGTGGGTGGTTTTACTAAGGGGATTCACTAATAAAGATGGCTAAACATTTAAGGTTCCTAAAATATCACTTGTGGAATGAGATACACTTAAAGGCGCTAGACCATTCAATGCATTTTCAGAAGAACAGTATGCATCGATGCAGCGAACAAATAATGGGAGTGATTTTATCGTGCTGATAGGATGTGGTAGGTTATTCCACAGTCTAGAAAATTTACAGATGAAGTAATTCATATAAAGAGATGATTTAGAATGAGTTTGTTTCACTAGTGTCAAGGAATTACGTATGTTATAATGAGAGGTTTCTGCATATTGAATCGCGTGATCGGATGTAAACGATAGTTTATGAAGTAGTTTGAAGAAAAAGATAAGATTTAGTTTGAGTCTCCTCCTCCATAAAGGGTCTAGCCCAAGTTTATTACATCTAGAATTATAAGTTAAGGTACAATCAGCTCCAAGAATACGAAGTGTAAATCGTCTCTGTACTGATTCCAGCCTTAATTTATCCTTTATGAGCGCACTGCTAAGAATAAACGTGCAGTATTCCAGAAGAGGTCGAGCACAAACTTTGTACATTAGAATACGTGACTCAGTGTTGTAAAGATTTCGAGTTATGTAACCTATTAGACGTTGAGACTTAGAGCTCTGTTTTAATATATGTTCTGTAAACGACAAGTCTTGGGAGTATCTAAGTCCTAAGTCTACTACTGTATGTAACTTAGATAACACTTCCCCATTTATGGTAACGTCTAGGTTGAGCGATGTATCGCCGAAGCATATCCATCTACATTTAGCCGTATTAAGCTCCAGTTGCCATTTCAAGCACCACTGTGTTACCTTGTTAAGCTCCATGCTGATGCGATTTCGTATATTTTTCAGGTCATGTGAAGAAAATGAATATACTACTTTAGGATCATCTGCATATAGAAGGGGCTTAGCGACACAAAAACTTTCACAAATATCATTGATAAACACTAAAAAGAGCAAAGGACCTAAGACACTACCTTGTATTACACCACTTCTAACAGGGACAGCGTTAGACAATAAAGAGTTAATTTTAACTATTTGGTATCGATTGCTGAGAAAGGAATCAAGCCAAGCAAGCAAAGGATTTTGAACCCCATAAGATGCGAGCTTACCTATAAGAAGTTGGTGGCTAACCATGTCAAAGGCTTTAGAAATGTCCAGATATAGCACTAAGACTAGATAACCCTGGCTACGTAGAGAATAAACTAAATTAAAGAAGTCAAAATGACATGTCATGCAAGAACGATTTTTAAGAAATCCATGTTGAGTATCATTGATAAATTTTTCAGCAAGTAAATAGTTGGAAAGTTCATCACGGATAATTTTTTCCATAATCCTAGAAATAACTGGAGTAATATTTATTGGCCGGTAATTGTTCATGTCAGTCTTATCTCCAGATTTGTAACGTGGTATGATGTACGCGGTTTTCCAACAGTAGGGGTAAGAACCGGTTTCCATAGAGTAAACAGCTTGAGAAGAAGAAGTGGAATATCTGGACCACCATATTTGTAGAGAAATGATGAAATCCCGTCTACTCCATGACCTTTCGAAAGCTTAAGGGTATTTATAGCATTATTAATTTTCATGCATGTGAATGAGATAGATTTTATTGAGTTGCTGGTCACGCACATAGCTCTTGAAGCATAGCCACTTATGTTTTCTACAACATTCGCGAATGTACTACTGAAAAGGTCGGCCATGGTTTTAGAGTCTTATATAAAAGTGCTATTATGCTGGATGCACGGTATATCAACATTTCGAGTTGCTTTAGTGCGTTTATTGAAAAGGAGAGTTAAGTTTTGTACTTTCGAGTTAGTATTAAGGGCTAACAGCTCCTCATTAATGGCTTTTAACCTATGTTTCAGTCAGTCAGTCAGTCAGTCAGTAACAACGTAGAACTTCGTACGTACGTACATCAGTTCGAGTTGCCACACCACATTAGCACAGAGATGCAGTTGTCGATTCAAATCCCGTAGTGGTAGAGGTAATAAGAGTATAAGCAGTAATCGGAAAGATTAGGGTTTGGAGATGTTATTTAAAGAGTATAATCCAGTAAAATAAATTTGGAAAGAGGAAAAAAGGGACATGAAGAATTCAGAAGATTAGAATTTGGGAGAACACAGAGAGTGGATGCACCTACGCCATTGCAAACGATTTTGAGCCATGTCATTCAGGGTTTCTCTTTAATTCGATTAAAAATTATTGTTATTTGTGCAGTGAAGTCGTTTGACTTAAAATAACGATTCTGTAGGCGTTTTAGTTTATTACGATATTTAGCTGGTATATATAATTCGTAAGGTTTACTAAACCTGTACGTTTTAACAGGTACACAGGAATCTAAACAAGAGTTAATGATCAGATAGAATTCATCGATAGCATCCATGAGACTATTACATGAAAAAAGTTATCCCAGTCTGATAGTTTAATCAATGAATGCAGGAGGTCCCAGTCAGCATGCTTATTGTCTCTATATTGACAGGTTTCTTGAATGGGTGGGTTATAAGAGAGAGAGATAGGGAGAGCGCAAACTACTATCTTATGGTCACTGCTTTCAAATTCATCATACACTTTTACAGATAGTGGGATAACATCTCTACTAAATATTAGATCGAGTATACTTTGGACTCGAAACCCGACTAACTACTCACCAATAAAACAGATTATATCTTACACCCTCACAAAAATGTCACTTATGTACCGAGCGAAACCTGGCACTTTTATATAGGCTCAGTTTGCCCCACCACATCACCACAGAGCGATAAAATCATGGAAACAAATCCTAGGGTAGTAGGAAAGAATCGGTATAAGTAATATAAAAAAATGAGTTCATGGAGAAATTTTTACTTATTTTAACACATAGATATTGGTACAACAAGGCACCAAATACATATGCGCCACACAAATCTCATTCGATGTGTGAGGGCTGTGATACTGCCCGGGTGCCCAAACCGAAGCAGGTGGTTTTCTTAGGGGGCCACACCCCGAGCCTTCGACCTAAAGGTCTGATCCACAAGGCAGTGGAGCATCGTAAGGAGATGCAGTCCCATGGAAGCCGGTGACCAACGATTGGTTCATACGCCATTTGTTCCCGCAGGATACTGGTGCCCATGTGCACCATTGATTTGGAATCCGGTTAAAGCGCCGGACATTCGCTTTTCGTCCTCTCATTTTCGTAAACAACACCCCCGCCACGAGAAGGCAGTGAGTAGGACTTCCCTGGCAGAGGCTGTATACGCGTGGCCGTGTGAGAGTATTTCGAGAGGGAGGGCATACCCACCCCGCTCTCGGCCATACCAGGGCATTCGGGGGCTGGTGCAACATAGTGACTTAAGACGTTATCAGATACGGCTCAGAACAGAGGCCAGTGGTGACCCTGCTGTAACTTTCTTCATAACAAATGTCATAGAGACATATTTAACTCAATTTACATCTTTTTGTGTAAAACATCCGGAATTTCCTCTACGTGGTATGAATAATCTTCTTAAAATTAAAAAAAATAAGATGTATGATTTACAACAATATGTGTAAAGTTCGGACACGACATGGTTAAATAAAGAATGTAATTGTTTCCTCGAAAAAGACAACAAGTCATATTTTCTTATTTTTGTTCATTTTTCTCTATTTCCGAAAAAGATATTCTTGGCAGATGTAATAACCCAGACTTTTCTCCCTCTCTCCATTCAGATTACTTGATCGTGATTCTGTCAGCACACTCGAACTACTTTCCATCAGTCGACAATATTTTAAGAACTCCAAAGGTTTTTTCACCTACTACCACTGATGCCGTCGTCTAGGACAGCTAGGATAAGGCGAAATTCCGTACCGAATAGGTGCACAATCATCAAGTGTATGAGGAAAACAATCTTCAGTTTTGTTTTCTTATTGGTCGTAAGTTTCCTACTTATTTTTTGACTATTACCTCAGGGTCTTTCAACAGGACTCATAGGACCAAGTATTCTATATTTGGAAAAGTTAGCTGGCTCACGAGAGGATGAAACAGCTCTTGTTTTTACGTCGAGGGCCGTTGGGTGTATTGGTGGATGGATAGTTAGCTGTTTATTACTGGATTCAGAAGGTTCTGCTAAACCAAATGATTTACTGAGTGTTGGACTTTTCGGCCTAGTGATATCCAATGGTCTTATTATTTTCGTTAAACATCTTTGGTGGATGCTGGCAGTTTTTTTTCTTCAAGGTTTATTTGTAACAATTTCTTTGCAAGGTAACAAAAATATATACACGAACCTTTTTTTCGGCTGACATTTTATCTTAGCTTAATAATCATTACATCCTATCTACAATTGAAACTAAGGGTATATTTGAAAAGTTTCTAAAAATGTATTTAAATGGTTATAGCAGTGCTAGATAACAATTGATAATAATTACTTTCTAGTTATCTGGAATAGCAGATATACAAGTAAGATATGATCGAATATTTTTCTAATAGTTTATACTCCTCTGAAATGTTAGTTTTAAAGTAGGATCAAATCGTAGTTCTTTCATTTAATCTCACTTAGCCGATGTACTGCACCAATACAGTTCACCCTTCGACTTTTCCAGCAGATGTAGACATGTTCAAAAGCAAAACAAACCTTATTCACTGGTTCCCCGCACTGACGATTCAATTTAGCATATGACTATTATTGTACTTTGTTGACCGGTTAAAGCCTATGACTTTCAATCACCGGTGTATGAGTTATGACCCTCGTTCTTTTGTTCCAATATAGACGGTCAACTAGTGCCAATGGTTGTCCCATAAAACTTGTGACTCAAAGTTTAAGTTACAAGCCTAAAATTGGTCTTTTTGTCGGCGTTTCGCCAAAGTATCTCATAGCCTAGCTCGCCATACGAAGACTGAAATAATGTCAGGGTCCGGAGGCACTTAGGATCATCTTGGATGTAGCATAGACTTCATAAGTTGCGCAGAAAAATATATCCTCAGAATTTCCACAATCAAAAACTTAAAATGATTAAATTAGTAATTTTTTTAAATTTATTGAGAAAACCTAACATGAAAAAGGCGGTTTAATCGATACTCATAATCGTAAATTTAATGATTACACAATGACCTTCGAATATCAGTTTGTGCTGATTAGTTGCACTTTATGTAATGTTTTTTGAAGTTTTTGTTCACTTTATACTTGTGTTTGTAAAAGTAGGATGTAAAATGCAATTATCATTGCTTTATTAGTTATCCAGTATTTTTAATTGCCATTCATTTTGGGAACTGATTTTCAGTAAATTAAGTCTTGTGAGCAGTGTATTACTTCTCATTATCCATCAATTAGCATTCTATTCTTCATCTTGACATTTCATTCGTGTTCCTGATCATTCAAAATTTGTAACCCGTAGTAGTAAAACTAACTCAAAAGATGCCGTTTATCCTGTTACTGTGGGAAAATAAGTGACTGACCCAATATCAAAGTGAGTGACTAAAACATTCACGAAGCCACATAGTGAAATAATTTACCTCTGAACATTAGATAGATTGCAGTCATCATCTGAAATGGCTATTGTTATATCCGAGCGAAGATTAAATCACGAGTAACTTCTGGGACATATTAGTTAACTAATATTGTCTATACATTCTGATGGTATAACTATTCAATAATTAGATTATGTATATTTATATTCCTCTTATTATAAGCTTCATTTTGATCTATAATTTATTACTATACAATTTACTGTTCGTAAGCTATGTTCAGCTTATTGACTACTGCTTCGCACGTTCACAGTCACTTTTTTGGCTTTTTTGTCCATAAATGTTATTTCCTATTTTATAGTGCGTTGCGGTTTCCTTAGTTGATATATAAACCCAGTATATCTGAAATAAACGATTCAATTCGATTCGATTCGCATAATGGAAGCTGGTATTGGTGTTCTGGACTCAAGTGGACGGGGTAGGCGGACATATGACCAGTAAGGACGCTAGGCTGCTCATACCGCTCGAACGTCATTGGTTTGGCACAGTGCTAAGACTGTATAAGTCGTATTTTGATTGGTGGATAAATCACTTGATAACTAGTCGAACATAAAGTCACAACAACTATCTAATTTGACGTTACCTAAATATGTTGTAATTGTGTATTTGATAAAAGCTACACCTTCAATGAATTAATCTATTAAAATAGCGACTGTGGAATGTAAAAATCTTCCTTAAAAGTAATTTAAAACTAAGTTTTGAAACTTTTTTATTTTGTAATTTATCATTTTTCAGGATGTGTTTATCATCGTGAGAACGTAAAACATCGACTCCACATTGTCCCACAATATTTAACAAGTGTTTTCTTATTGGGTTGTGTATTTACTCCATATTTTATTTTATTTATTGAGCCAAATTTAAATGCCATTACACCATTAGATGTTCATCCCAGTACTACACTGAATGAACCACAGCATTCACATAAGCATAACTTCATTTCAAACGTATCTAATGTAATTCCCATTAAATCTGTTGAGAGTAGCAGTACTGGCATTAGTAAACACAATGAAATTTCTCCACTTATTCGTATTCCTCGACAAATTTCAGTTAGTACCCCACTACTGAATAAATCTAATTTTGGTCTGCAAACAACACCTCAAACCACTATGGACATTAATCATCATAAAATATCTACTGATCAATCTCACAATTTAAATATAATCATACCTAATTTTACGTCAACAAACGAAATCAATATAAATGAAACATCACATAACACTACAGTGAACTCTTCGGTTACTATCAAACCTACAATCAAGAAAAAGCCGTCAGTCAATGATGCTAAACATTTGAACCAAGATAGTTCATCTGCGGATGGTAGTAAAGCAGCGTCTAAAATGAAGAAACTTACTGAAGAGCGTCAAATTGAAGAATTAGACGATGATCCATCTACTCATAAATCACTGACCTCTGTCGTTAATCCAAATAAACTTCAAAATCCTGTAGTCCAAAACCAGTCTACTATTACCACTACTACTATGTTAATGAACATCACGAATTTAAATTCTACCAAACAATCAAATAATAATGATGCTATCTCTAAAATTTCTACAAATTCTTCCTCTAGCCATCTTTCAATTCACTTGAACAATGTTTCAATAGGATTTCCATATGACTCTAAAATTGTTAAAGATCATAAATCTAATGAAATTTTCATTAATAATGTGAATTCAACAAAAGATATTTACATATCTAATGCGTCTAAACCAATAACTAAGAATAAAGTAATACTTGGCATGTATAATATTACCGATGAAGTAGGGTTAATAACTAATAACTCTTCTACTCAATTCACATTCAGTAAATTTCCACCTGTATTACAGTCAAACGATATTATTGTAGTTATCAATTCAACAAATCATAAATATCATCATCATCGTATTGCTGAACACTCGTTGGATAAATCTCATAATCTGTTACCGTTTCAACATCCAGTAGAATCAGTTCAGAAAGTCTATCTACTACTAAGTATTATTTCAATGATACTTTGGCTGTTGACAATTCCATTAACAAGTTGGTGTGAATCGATATTTATTCGTTACTTTGATCTTCAGATCATAGATGATAATAATTTCGAGCTTATTTCCGCTGGCAAACTCTCGTCACCAAGTGTGATGCAACGATCAGATACTGATAGTAATGAAAATCATTCTGAAGAAGGTCTCAAATCAAGATTACTTGGAGGATCAGGTAGGCTAGAAGATTACACTTAGATATTTGTGAAATGACTATCAGATCATAACTGTTAACCTGATTTTTTATGTTAATACTGACTAAAATTTGATAGTGATATCTCGATTTTACTACCACCGTATATATATATATATATTCTAAGTGGTTCAATTCACTGTAAGTTGCAAAAGTTTTGTGACTGTTAAGTTTTTTGAAAGCGGATATGAACTAAAATGGATTGGGTGTACTACGTATATCAAACTATTCATTATCTTGAAATGTAGAAAAACAGCCAGGAGGGATTTAACGTGTTTTTTACTTTAGAAACTGCAGTTTATTCATGCTTACAATATCAAAGATAGCTAGTAAAGATTTACGTCTATGCTCACCAAAACATGGTATCTGTTCATTAACTGTTGGTTTGAGTCATGTTGATAAACTCAGATCATCTGTTTGGTGCCCGTTCAATAACCGCGATCAGCAGTTAGTGACTTTCAGTTATGTTGCTTGTATTCGGTCACAATAGTCTAGGAATATTCACTTCTTGTCATACTGTAGATCTTGAATTCAAGTATTTCTTCATATATACCGTTTTCATTCCTTCTTATCAAACCATATTCTCAATTTTTAGTCTATCTCATTATCATTTTCACTACAGTACTCTAATTCCTTTATTCTGTTATTTTTTTCTTACCATACCAATATGGTGTGGCGATTCGAGGTGACTCAAGTTATTACCAGGCTCTTCGTTAATTACAACTGACTGAGTCATTTTCCAGAAGACACTGCAGTGTTTTGGTTGTGAGATATACGACTAATATCTATATAATTATCCTGATAATAATCACCATTGAATATTATACCTTTTTTATTTTTACATAAGATGAAGACGACAGTGAGTCGGATTCAGTTGAACTATGGAATCGAAGTCATTTTATTGATAAAAACGAAGAGCTAGTCTGTCATTCTGATTCTGAATTGAATGATGATGGTGTTGTTCTGAAAAATTCCTTAATTAAATCATCTTCAGGAAATAATATTTCTGGTTATTCAGTGTCTAAATCGATGACAGTATTAAATCCTAATGTTGTTGATGATATTACCTCCTCTATGACTGATTATTCTGTATTTGAAACTCATTGGCCAAGAATTCAATGGCCATCAAATTTTTGGCTGTTATTATCTGTGTTTCTAAATAGTGGTTTGGAGACAACATATGCTGGCTTTGTTGCTAGTCTCACTATCCGTTATCTTCTTTGGTCTCCAGTAAGTATTTATGTTATTCATATAACTATTTATATAACTATTATTTTGTATGAAATACACTTGTTATTGAGTTTCAAGTTTAATGGTATGTAGTTGGGTTAGACATTCACCATTTGAACTAGTGATTTATTATTTTGTAACCTTCATTTCACTTCTCTCAGTTTAGACTATTTACTGGAAGTAAATCAATAATTTCTAATTCCTCATATGTCAAGTATGAATCAAAGTTCTGCTTACATGTACCTGTGTTGTTTGCTCATTGATATTCACGCTTTTTTATTTAATCTATTTAATGTTATTTCATGTGTGTCAACTATCATTAACTTTCTGTCTTAAATTGTCATATTATATTGACAATTTGTCACATTAATATGGCTTAGCATAGGGATTAAAACACAAACTTTAAATATAGATTAAATTCGTTGTTTTTATTCAATTAGAGGTTTTATACTATGAGCTGTAGTTTAATGATTAAATCGTTTGAATTTCAACCACCAACTTCTAGATCCCAACCCCTGTACACCTCTTTCGGTTTGAGTGGTATCACTAGCCCTCATATTTAAAATATGTATCGAGGCCTCCAAATGGTCTGAAAGCTTGTTGAATATCATTTGATTATATATACATGAGTATGCTATGGTCAATATTTTATAGATGTTGTCATTTATACTTTCACAAAATGATATAATGACCAAGAATTAAGCTTGTCAGTCAGATAATAACGTATTGACAACCGAGTAGCCTACAGAGCTATTTCATTTATTTTCTGTGAATAATTTGTTCATATAAATGTTATCTCATTGTATAAAAACTTGTTCTTCTGGTTAACGGTCATGGTCTTTCATTCATTTTAACAATTACAAACCTTATTCATTTACCAATCCCCCCTTCCGTAAGAGAAGAAAATTGTCATGACTACTAATTTTTAATTCCTTTTGAATTTGATTTAATCTCGGAAGTTCTCCTAAAACTATTCCTAAAGCATAAATCATTATTAATTGAACAGGATAACTATTGGAATTATTAATTATCTACCGGCAAACTAGTTAAGAACATATAATAAAGGCGAAATATTGGTTATTAAGCAGTAATCCAATTGGTAAGATAGGTTTGAACCCTACTCCATCTACTTTTGTTTGGAAAAATCGGATGATATCACTAGCTTTCACATTTTTGAGTATGGCTTAAAGTCAAGTATACAAATCTGTACTTGGTTGATGTGGGGTTATAATTGGTTGTCATCCACAAATTATAATATGTAATGTAACTTATTACATTATCTGGTAAAGGTTTATATACTTGACATCTCTTAAATAAGTATATTTGTGGTGGTTGAATCATATTCGATTGTAGCTCTATGGTGTAAGCAAGCATTCAACTCAACCATCCTGATCACATAGCCGAAAAACTTTTAGCCCATATATAAACCCAATTAGTGAAACTCATTATTATGTATACACAATATGCACATAGTTACTGGGCTGCTGATATCTTTATTTTGTTAACAAAATGGTTGTTCGTGTAACTTTATATCAAGTATCGGTACATTCAGTCCAATTTATTTATTTCTTTTAACAAGACATTAGCAATAATTGTGACCAGTTTGTTTTGGCTTGGTAATCTCGTTGGCTTTTTAGTTCGTTTATTGATAATCAATATAAAATGGCCAGATTTACGAGATACTTTACCTGGTATTTCAACCAGTCATCTATTACCTAAGCGTATATATTCAACTAGAAAACATCGTCGTAATTATGCAAAGTAAGTTATTTTCATATAATTTTATACATTCATATTAAATTATAATTAGTGAATGGTAGTGGATAACGAAAAATGACCTAAATATTGCTTCCTATAGTTTATTTTAAATGAATTCCGTTGGTGATGTGTAGGTAAGTAAGCATTCACAATTAAATACAACTGTGATGATACTCTATTGGCATTTAGCTAGAAACAAACAGCTTGTGATGAATACAGAGAAAATGGTGATACTTGATTCACACATTAAAATTGTGATAAGCAGTACCTGTGTATTTAACCTCTCTTGTACTTTGTTTAGAGAAGTTAGATATGATTACCATTGGTCAAATTCATCCTAATACATACTTCTGATAGTTCACTGGTCTGTTATGATCTCCCTTTATATAACCCAGCTACTATTATTGGTTAATATTTTTTGGACAATTTACTCCACTTGACTAGTGCCCAAATCAGAACAGGGTTGGACAGGAACGTAGTTATATTGAGCTGCAATTTAATGGTTATTGTTTTTTTTTACTAATGAATGTTCCGTAAATTCAATTTTATCTGCTTGTATTGGGGCTTTAGCAGTAGATATGTATAATACACACAAAATGGAAATGATTGTTTAGTTAGCTAATTCGTTTCTGTAATGTAGTTAAAAAAAGTGAAATGCAATCTAACGATTAGTTTTGTTTTCATCAAGAACGAATCCGTCTGGCTCTAAATATAGATTCTGGAATACATAAATCTTTTGAACTCCAGGTACTTCGTAAAACAAGCCTAATCACTTTCTATTATTATTATTATTATTATTATTATTATTATTATTATTATTATTATTATTGTTATTATTATTGTTATTATTATTATTATTATTATTATTATTATTATTATTATTATTATTATTATTATTATTATTGGATTGTGAGATTTTTAGCTGAAGTTAGTGATTATGCTTCATGGGTTGGGCGGTTTAGTCTTAAAGTTATCATCACCTATCTCGACAACACCAGAAAAAACTTCAAATAAAAGTAAACTATTTGGAATCTCCTCCTTCCCATGGGAATAGCAGCTAGTTCTGTTGACCTTGAATTCGATTGCCTGTCGACATTTGTCCCACCAGTATGTACATGTTTTCGATTCCAGACAATGCTAAATGGTAACAACCAATCAGATGCAAGGTTAACAGGACAAACTAGCATTCGTATGTGAGAAAAGATTTCAAATACCTCACTTGCATTTGAAGATGTTGTTGATGTCGCTATCTCGAAAGATGATGATCTCTTTACAGTTAGACAACTCAGCTAAGAGAACACAACTCCACCAAAAGTTTTATATGTGCCAAAGTTTTGCATTTTCCCGTTGCTAATATTCAAGATTAAATTTGATCAGTTTTTATTTGATGATAATATCAAAATTAACACTAACATATAGGTACATCTAACCGACTAGTTTGAAATAGAACAAAATAAGTATCCTACATTTCACACTGCTAGCCCCCATTATCCAAATATTTAATAAACGTAACCATTTGTTTACTATTTTGTTTTTCCTTTTTTTAAATTCTGTCTCTAGGAATACAAAATCATCAATAATTATTACTATCATACAATTGTGTGGATGTTTTATTTGTGTAACTAGTTCTATTGCATTAACATATTTATCAATGTCAACTGGAAGATGTTCCACAACAACATCATCATCATCATCCCTATTAAACATGAATTCATTATCACATCCTTATATAACCTGGTTAATCGGAAGTCTTTGTTTTGGTATTGGTATTGGTTTATCATCTTCTTATACTGGTACATTAATGACTATACATTTAACTACAAATTTATTTTTTTCTAATTCATATCATATTCAATTAGCTACATTTTTTGGTCAATTATTAATGCCAGCATTAATTGCTATGCTTCATCATCAAGCATTATTTTGGCGATATTCATGTGTACATAGTATTAGTGTATTATGTTTAAGTATATTAATGAGTTGTTCATTAATTAGTCATTTTATCATTGAAACTATTGAAAATAAACGTAATAATTTATTGAAATCATCTAAAACTAATCGAAACAATAATCATGATACACATTTACAATATTCTAATGGGAAAATTACAATACCATAATTAGTTTATAAATTCTAATAGGGATAGGTAATAATTATCTTCAAGAAAACTGATGATAACTTCGAATATTGTTATCATTTTGTTTATTGCAAATGTCTTTCATCAAACTTGTCTTCATGTGGTTAATTGCTTTAACCTGTAATAGTTTATTGTAACTATATATATGTTATTTGTATAATACTAATACTAACCCTCCTTCTTCTTCCTACTCCCCTTCCCCTCCTCTCTAGTCTGATAATAATGGTATTTTGTTCATTTGATTGCATTTTGTACTCTACCATTTGTATGTGCACTCACCTATATTTTTTTATTACCGCCTTATTTTCATAGGTTATCTGCAAGTTTGATCTGTTGTTATTTTAATATACTTCATTATGTCATGCATTGAATCTATTTGGTTTAATACCTTATTTTGTTTATGATATTGAATTATAAATGCAAACAACACATTTTATCAATTGGTTTTTCCTTCAAATAGATAGAACTAATCCTCTGACGTATAGCTTCAGTTTATCGCTTTAAAAATTAGTAGTAATTTAATATAAATTATTCACTAAATACAGATTGATGTATCCCACTTTAAGTCGCTTTATTTGTGTTTGAAAGTTTATGGTACTACCTTAATCACACCTGTTATCCCTAGTGAAGCATTGGTCGCCAACTAGGAGTCTCCGGGCTACTTTGTTCTAGGTTCTCCTTTCCATCTGTCGCCAAGTTCCATTGATTCTTTTGATGTCTGCCTCCAGTTTGTGACCCAACATGTTTTTTTTCGTCTTCCTCTTTTCTTTTTCCCAATTTATGGCTTACTCTATGAAACAGTCTGATGATTTCCATTACTGAATTCCACTAACCACTATTCTATGCTATGTTTATGAATTTGTAAGGGTACGTGAATGCTGACTAACACTGACAAACAATATCAACAACAGGGTAATTTAAATCCTCCCAAATTAAGTTGAATTAATCCCTCGTTGAAATCTAGACATTATAAAGGAAAAAATGAAGTTTATCATAATGGTGTGCTATATGAGCGCTCTTGGATCACACTATAATTTCTGAAGATGTTTATTTAAGGAATAAAACGTAAGAAGAACAATGAGAAGGAATTTTATTTTAAGCGTACCAATCATGATATATCAGAAATAAAGTCAATGATACCAGGGTAGGTCTCAATGCAATTATGAAGTATTTTTAGAAAAAAAGTAGGATAGTTATACATTTTCTCATAGGTAATTAAGATTCAACAGATCAGTGCATATGTACGTAACTACTTATCTACAATAATAGATAGGATGTTTTTAGATTGATTTAATAAGTTTTTCTAACATTTAACAGAAACAGATGGATGTTTACCATATTCTTTTATTGACGTTCGTACAGTGTTCCAATTATTCATCTATACGTGCAACCACTTTGGATCGAATATAATGCACATAATGAAATCGATGAACGAAGTGGGATGTAACTCAGTGATTAACATTGCGTTTAGGTTTTCAGTAGGAAATGAATTGCTTTTCCTATACCCTGACCGTGGTTACATAGTAGGTTTTGTGGCTTTGAATATCCCACATGCCATCATATTAATGAAATGTAATTAGAGTTCTCTTGATCTAAGTAGGATTCAAGTGTCCTCATCTTGATATAGTTGAATAGCTTAGTCTATCCTAACACCGGTTCTAATAACAGTTCTTACATTTCAAGCATAGTGAAACTATTATGTTAATTTCTTAAGAAACAAAGCACAATACTTTTTTTACTATTATAAGAACTATAGTGAAGTTCATTTTGACAACAAAAAATTGTGGTTCGTGTACACCTAGTTGGTTAACAGGCTTTGTCTTGACCGAATCAGACAATACTAAGAATGACTCATAACATTGTTTCATCTATTTGTTGTTGTTTTAATTGGCTTCATCGTTTCTTGAAACATAATTATTTATCTCTTATCAAACTTTATGATAGAGCATAAATGGTTTTGGTCAATTCATTCATTGCCAATTTATTCACATACGTGGTAAGATGGACAAACTATAATTAAGACACACCTCAAGCGAATTCTAAAGTTAACTCAATTGAGAGCAAAACACACCTAATTTTTAATCGTTAAGTTAGCACAATATCATGCTAAATTTCTTACTATTGCTGTAATTCATTGGATCGATTAAGAAAGAAAAATGGTTTGAGAAAACAGATTTTTCCGAGTGAACAATTCATTGGTAATGACTGGCTTATTTTACTAATACTGCATAAATATTTTATTTGCGTTTCACTATAATATTGTAATTGTACTGCTTAAACTCTTCAAAACAACTTGAATTCGGTCACAGTAATATAAACGAAATTATATTTCTCTCCAAATCTTGTATATTTTATTGTCTTGGATTTATCTGTTCATTTGCCATCTAGTTGTGGTGTCTGGTACGTATACAGACATATATGAGTAGTATGTATCAAGATTTGAAAGAAGGATTCTTACTGACAGAAGAATAACATCAGGAGACGAGAAAGAAAAGCAGAAGCAGTCCGAGTAGCAACATGAATGAAAGAACGATGGAGCTTTCAAGAGACAATTCAAGGAAGATGTGCACATAATACTTTCAATGTATTGTGTTCATATTTTACAAATGCAGTGTATGCTTTTGCTTAATACAACAATGGTTTACTCTACCCAGGTCTTCGTTCACTACACGATAAGACTTGTCTATATTTTACCTGCTAATTTTATGGAGTTCCGTTTGTTTTAATGGTTGTGTAAAGCATAATGAATTAGAACTACCACTGTATAAGATTCTGATATAATGGGATGGTAATTTCGTCCGATTGTAAGGCCTTGAATCTTTTGATTCATAAATGGCCTACGACATCCAAATCAGTTACGCTTTACGTACATTTCAATTGCGTTTATTTTAGGTGAAATATTTTGTAGATAAGTTAGTCGTTGTTTGATATAAAACGACTTGTTTTGCTAACCAGTTACTCAGCTTTCTGATATCCATTCATTGTGTGTTTGTGTTGATGGTCCGGATTTATGTGAATAATCATCACACGACCACAGTAATTTGAAATAATTGATCAATTGTCTCGTAATTTATTCCGTCATTTTGCTGACTATTACATATTTGACAGTTTTCTGTTTTCCTTTCATGTTAATTGTAGTTAAATCATAGATGTACCATCGTATTCATATTTATTGATCGTAAGTTATCGTGAATGTTATGAATGATTTCATGCAGTTTTATGGTTGTGTAGTACTGTGGAGTTCAAACTAGGACGAAAAACTATCTACTGTTACTAGGTAGCATTCAATAATTTATTCGTTAACTTATTCCAGTTTGGGATGAAGAAACAACCTTAGGTTGTACGCAGTCATTATGAACATATAGGCGTCAATTTATACACAATACAATTGACAGCTTGGATGCAGCCGGACGATTTGAACTTCACAGATGATCTAGCTTTTCTAACTTATACACACGAACAAATACGAGTCAAACCAACCATCGTAGCAGCAGTTCCTGCACCAGTAGGACTGAACATGCACAAGGGAAAAATCAAGATTCGCAAATACAACACTGAAAGCACCAACTCAATCACAATTGATGAAGAATCTCTGGAAGAGATGGAAACTTTCACGTATCTGGACAGTATCATCGATGAACAAGGAGGATCTGATGCAGATGTGCAAACACTGATTAGCAAAGTAAGGACAGTATTCCTACAGTCGAAGAACATATGGAACTCAAAACAACCGACAACCAGTATCAAAGTTACAATATTCAATATGAACGTCAAAACAGTTCTATTGTACGAAACTGAAACTTGAATAACAACCATACAACCATCATCAAAAATGTACTAATATTTTTAAACAGTTGTCTACACAAGATACTTGATGTCCGTTGGTCGGATACCATTAGCAACAGCATACTATGGGAGAGAACACACCAGCTTCCAATTGAAGAGGAAATTAAGAAAAGACGTTGGAAGTGGATAGGACACACATTTAGGAAATCATCAAACTGCATGAAGAGGTGAGCGCTGACTTGGAATCCTGAAGGGAAACAGAGAAGACCAAGGAACATACTGTGCCGGAAATTGGAAGTAGACACCAAAAGGATGAATAAGAACTGGGAAGAACTGGAAAGAATTGTCCAAGACAGAGTTGGATAGTATATGGTGGTGGGCTGCCTATGTTACTAACAAGAGTACGTAAGTACATTGTGGTGGATTCCAGATATAACCATATTAAGTTACTAATGATACACCAAAAATATCAACACTACAAACCGAAGTGTCTGTTTGTGAATAAAACATAGCGGTAACAAATAACACTTACAACAAAATGTTATATTAAATAACAAAATTATAACAATTTTGACGAAATGAATATTACTTATAAGTTCCTTCTGAGATAACAACCATAAATTAGTTTACCTGATTAACGAAGGTTCCGCTGTACGTTTTGCGAAAGATAAATCCTATAGTATTATTCAATAATCATTCGAGCTAAAACTCCAACGTTGTGTAGAATGGCTTAAAAGGATGTTATAACACTGATAACCTTCAATTACAGGCCCTGACCAATAAAGTAGAAGAACAGACAACAGAGATAGCATTTATTTTGAATAACAGAGGTAATGTGTGTATTATTTTTGTTACAATCAAACAATTATATCCGGCTTTTTTATAACTGATACAGAGAAACAACAGGTTTACTGCACAAAACTGAAACTTGAATAACAACTATACAACCATCATCAAGAACGTACTAGTATTTATAAACAGTTGTTTACACAAGATACTATCAGCAACAGCCTACTATAGGAGAGAACAAACCATCCTCCAGTCTAAGAGGGATTTAGGAAAAGACTTTGGAGGTGGATAGGACATATACTTCGAAAATCACCAAACTGCATCACGAGGTAAGTGCCAACTTTGAATCCTGAAAGGAAACGATAAAGAGGAAAGCTAAAGAACACATTGCACCGAGAACTGGAAGCAGACATAAAAATGATCAATAGAAACTGGGAAGGATTACCCAGGACAGATTTAGATGAAGAATGCTGGTGGGCACTCTGTGCTTCTCCATGTTGGGTATCAGGCGCGTTTTTTTGTTTATACACAAACGAAAGCTCAGAGATACTATTCTCGTTAGTCTGTATTAATGGAATTCGTTAAGTTGATTAACCTTAGAAACTTCAAATATCTCAACATGTATAGCAACTGGTTTAAAAACTCATGGTGATCATTTTTAACACCAAAAATACAAAACATTGAGCGTTTTCCATGTTATCAAGTCATCGAAATACCATTTGAATTCATCTTAACTAGAATTCAAGCTCTCGCATCTTAATTCAGTTCAACAGCTAAGCTACATATGGTTTAATCTAACAACTATAATGACTAGTCGTTCCCCCCCCCACCTGGTGTCTAAATCATGCAATCAAGTAGCCACTGATCATGCATTTATTAATTGTCATACCCTATACATTACGCAAATCACCAAAATGCATCACGAGGCAAGCCCTAACTTGAAATCCTGAAGGAAAGAGGAAGATCAAAAAACACATTATGTCGGGAAATGGAACCAAGTATGAAAAGGATAAATTACAACTGGAAAGGATTGCCCAGGACAGGGTTGAATGGAGAATGCT